TTGACATATACGCTGTCTAGATGGGGGTTTGGTGACGCATTTCTGGCTTGGATCTCGGCTTTATATTCGTCTCCCTCATCCTCTGTTAAATATGCAGAGTTTTTTTCCTCATCCTTCCCTATTTTCAGGGGCACGAGACAAGAATGCCCATTATCACCTGCTCTTTTTGTTCTCGCTCTTGAACCTTTAGCTGCAGAAATTCGAAATCACCCGGATATTTTTGGTGTCCCCTATGCCAGCATTCAGTACAAGGCCAACTTATATGCGGATGATGCCCTTTTGGTTTTAACCAATCCTCTCATCACTCTCCCCACTCTCCAGGTCATATTGGGCCGTTTTTTGCCTATATCTGGCCTTCGCATCAATTTGTCTAAAACGATGGCATTGAATATTATGCTCCCTGCTGACCTGGTTGAATGGTTGCAGACACAATTTCCCTACCGTTGGGCATCCCATTCTCTGTCTTATCTTGGCGTTACACTTACTTCCTCCTACTCTGCCTTATTTTCGGCTAATTATTACCCCTTACTGCGCTCTGTTACTCCCCTGCTTCATTCTTGGCAGTTTCATTCTTTATCATGGATTGGCTGGATACATGCTGTTAAGATGACTATCCTACCGAAGATCCTGTACTTTTTCCATACTCTCCCTATTCATGTATCTGCATCTTTTCTTTGTGTAATACAGAGCCGGATTCTCAATTTTATTTGAGCTCATAAACGTCCCAGAGTGCCTAGAGCCACTCTGTATACTCATAGACTACAGGGAGGTTTGGGAGTTCCACATGTTTCTAGATACTATTTGGCAGCTCAGATTTCCCAGTTGTCTATGCTTCATGCCACAACAGATATCCTGTTATGGGTACTCTTGGAATTACATAACTGTGCTCCGCTTTCCTTAACTACATTGCTTTGGCTTCCGCCTAAGTTGCGCCCTCCAGGTTTGAACCCTATCATTCTTCACAGTTTAAGAACCTGGGATTCTGTTAAATATTTGGGTAATTTGATTTCGTCATTCCTGCCTCTTTTGCCTATCACGCATAATCCTTTATTTACGCCAGGCCTAGAACATCCCCCTTCTTTCTCTTGGTGGACCTCCCATGGCTTTGTTATTGTACACGATTTTCTGAGCTCTCGTACACTTCCATCTTGGGAGTCTCTTCGAGAATCAAGGGGGGTCCCGCCATGGGAATATTTTCGGTATTTGCAATTGCACCACTGGATCCTATCCCTCTGTTGTACCTCTACATATCCTTACCGCAAAACGCTCTTTGAACACTCTTGTCAGCATTCCCCTGTGTCCCCTGGTCTAATTTCTGTAATTTATGCCTCCCTTAACAGTAGGTCTTCCTCATCACCCCTGTCTTATGTCTCTCAATGGGAGCGAGATCTGGGTGTTTAGATTGCGGCGGAACATTGGCGTAGAGCCTGGGGGATGGTGGCGAAATGTTCATTCAATACAGTCACTCTTGAGGCAGCCTACAAAGTTCTACTGTGATGGTACTGGGTCCCGGCTTGGACTGCTCACTTTAATCCAACTGGCGGAGATAGGTGTTTCTGGAACTGTGGTCTACGCGGGGACGTCTTGCACATTTGGTGGTCATGCCCACGATTGATAGGCTTCTGGTCTAGGGTTTTTGGTTTGCTACAAATGCTATTTCATATTACAGTCCGTAGGGATGCAAAGGTGGCCCTCCTGCATTGCCCAATTTTGGGTCTGTCTAGATCTCAACAGACATTGGCATCCTACCTATTCATTTTGGCCAAACGTGCTATAGCTCAGGCTTGGAGAACCCCTTCGGTAGTCTTCCAGGGGGTGAAGACCCAGATGAATGCTATGTTGAACAATTAACAGATGTCTAGCATTCTTCATGATTCTCATCCGAGATTCCTTAAGGTTTGGGAACCTTGGATACGTTATTCCTTACCATCCTTGCCTCCTACTAGTTATTGCCTCCTATAGTTGCTGCCTGTGCTAGCCCCAGATCCGTGATCCCTCTAGTTTCCCTTTCATGTTTTCTTTCTGATTCCCTTTTGTTTTATTTTCTTTTTCTTTTCTTCTAACCTTTTATCTTTTCTCTTTTTTTCCCCGATATTATGTTGGATTATTGCTGCTATTTGGCTCGGCTCTTTGCCGTCCCTTCTTGATGTTATTTCGTTATTTGACTAATACAGGTCAGCAGGATGTCTCTGTTTATATGTTATTGTACTGCTCTGCCCCTGCGAGGGCGTATTTTGAGCTTGTTATTTTCTTAAAAACAAAACTTTCCTAATAAAAATATTGAAACAGAAAAATAGGATTTAAAAATCATTCCCATCAATCTAGATTCAGTTAGGAAAGCCATTTTTATATCATTTTACATTTCTGCATTATCTGGTTTGTGTATGACCTGTTATTCCTTGCTCATGTTCATTAACTTTCCTTACAAGTTTGAAGCTGTGGTGTTGCTTTCTGTACTAGCCAAAACATAATTACAGCAAGGAGTGGGGCTTAGTGCCAAGGGATGGGGCTTAGCAAGAATGACACTGTTGGGCCGCATTTCATTAGAGCAAGAAAGTGTCACAAGATACCTTATGCATGGGTTTGTGCCCGCAGCAGCTGGGTTCACTGAAACTTTATGTCACGAGAATTTTTATCTCCAGCCAATGCCAAGGCTTCAATTGTGAAATAAAATAACTCTGATTAATAACCGGCATGTGAGGAGTTGACAAAATCACAAAGTACAATCAAATAATGGTTTTACTCATATTCCTTTTACCGAACACCTTCAAAAAATATGTCTGCCCAGTTCACTTGTGAATTATAGAACACTTTGCAGGGTTGCCAACTTCCTGTTTTCTCCCGTCTGTAAAAGTTTGTAAATGGTAGAAAACTGTCTGAAAATTTTTGATTTCCCCTGTGGTATACAATTACAACTATTCCTGAGTCCTGACCGCTGCTGGACACAGATCACTGCATTGAAAATTATTGGTTGCTAGGACCACCTGGTATGACTTAAATCACAGGCCCAGCATTCACAGCTGAGGGGAATTCAACTTCCTCCTCCAGACCTGCTCCACCTCCTAGTGCTGTCTCAACCCTCCCAGCATCCTCCTGCTGAGAACAGAACTGGGAGTCTGAGGTGAGTGGAAAATACTGGCTGGGTCACTGGCATAGGACTGAGCACACCCTAATCATACTGTGCAGAGCTGATTCCCCTGCTGCTGGGGCCCCCCATGCCCCCCTCCACTGCAGCACTGCCGGCTTCCTTCCTCTCCTTTCGACTGCTGCTGCGATAGATGTTTCAGGATGGAGAGCGGGGAAGGGACTGGTACTGTAAATATGTCATTTACTGGCCCCTTCCTTTTCTGAATGAACACAGTGAGTGATCGGTACGCACCACTCAGTGTGTTCATTCATAACTGAGGCATAGTAAACTGTGTTTACTATGCTTCAGTTTGTGAATGAACAGGAAGCCGCTTACCACAGAGCATTTCCCATTCATTCACTGTCCAGTGGAGCTGACGCTGCAGAAAAAGGGACTGGAGAATTTTTATGTCCCCAGTCCCTTTCTCTGGCTCAAAAGTCAGATATCATGGGTTTGTTTGGACCCCTGATATTTCACCAGAGCCCCCCCCCCCCCCCCCCCCCCCCCCCCAGTGGGGCTCCTAAAGAATTCTAAAAAAAAAATATTGTTAAAATAATAAAAACATTAAATAAAAACTACTGACACCATTCAATGCCCTACTGACACCACCAATCTCTGCCATACTAACACTGTTCACTGCTCTGCTGACACTGTCCTCTGCCCTACTGACACAGTCCACTGTCCTACTGACACCATTCACTACTGTATTGACTGACACGATCCACTGTCTTACTGACACCAACCTGTTCCCCTACTGACATGTCCACTGCTCTACTGACTGACACCATCCACTGTCCACTGATACCAACCACTGTTCTACTAACATGTCGATTGCTCTACTGACACCATCCACCGCTCTACTGACACCGTCCACATTCCTACTGACACTGTCCATGTTTTAATACATCTTGAAATGTTTGCATTTATTTATAGGAGTGTGTGTGGGGAAAAGTAGATGAAGAGATGTCAGGTGTTCAGAAGGTGGAGGTGTGAGTCCCTCTCTCTCTCCCTTCCTCTCTTTTGCTTCTCTATCTGTGTTTACCCTCTGTTCCCTATTCTTTTCCCCCTTTCTCTCTCTTTTTCCCCCCTCTCTCTTCTTCCTCTCCCCCCCCTCTCTCTCTCTCTCTCTCTCTCTCTCTGCTTCCTTTTCTCCCTTACCCTCACTCATCTCTCTCTTTGTATCTAACCCCCTCTCTTCCACCTCTTTATCCCCCTCCCTTCCCTCCCCTCACCCTCCTCTTTCCTCTGTTTTGCTCTCCCCTCCCTCTTTCTATTCCTCTTTTCCTCACTCTCCCCTTTCCCCTCTTTTGCTCCCCCTTCTCCCCCCCCCCCCCATCTTTCATTGGCATTTTCTCTCATTTCTCCCCTTCTCCACTCTGCTGGGCCATGATGTAAGGGGGAACTCTGCCAGACCTTGATGTAATTGGAGGACATTGCAGACTCTGATGTAAGGTGGTGGTACTCTGGGGACACTGATGTCTGATGTAAGGCAGGACTCTGGAGGCTCTGATGTAAACTGGGACTTTGGAGACGTGAATATAAGGGGGACTCTGTGGACTCTAATGTATAGGGGGAATGTTGGTAACTCTCATCCTTACTCTGTCTCTATGTGTTGTTTTGTTTGCTACTTACTCCTGACCCCTGTACTCTATACATTATGCGGTACATAGACCTGACTAAGGTGTTGTGTCTCAACAGTTGTTGGTTTTAACTAGTAGCCGACCGCAGATAGCCGAATGACGGCTGCACTGCGGCCGGCCAGCTCTGAGTGGACGTCATATGACGTCCTCCCAGAATGCACGGGGCGCACACCCGGCGATCTCCGTGATCGCTGTGTCCTACGGACACAGCTGATCACGTGATGTGGTAAAAGGCCAATCACAGCGGCCTTTTACCACGTGATCAGCGGTGTCCAATGACACGCTGATCACAGGGAAATGCAAGTGCCGGTTCTCGGCTGCACATTCCTCACGCTGTCAGATCGTGAGGAAAGTACTGCCGAGAACCGGCAGTTGTCAGAGCGGGGATCGGCACCAATCATCAGGGCACTGATGATCAGTGCCCTGATGATCGGTGCCCAGCAGTGCCACCCGCAAGTTCCGCCCACCTGTGCCCAGCAGTGCGCCCACTAGCTCCGCCCACCTGTGCCCAGCAGATCACCCACCTGTGCCCAGCAGTGCACCCACCTGTGCCACTCTGCAGTGTCACACACCTGTGCCCAGAAGTGCCACCTACCTGTGCCCAGCAGTGCCACCCACCTGTGCCCACCCACCTTTGCCCACCAGTGCCACCCACCTGTGCCCACCCACCAGTGCTGCCCACCAGTGCCACCCACCAGTGCAGCCCAGCAGTGCTGCCAGTCAGTGCCACCAGTCAGTGCCCAGGGGGTGTGCCAGTCAGTGCCGCCAGTCAGTGCCCAGCAGTGATGCCAGTCAGTGCCATCTATCAGTACCCATCATCAGTGTCACCTATCAGTGCCGCCTATCAGTGCTGCATATTAGTGCCGCCTATCCGTGACACCTCATTAGTGCTGTCTATCAGTGTCGCCTATCCGTGCCACCTCATTAGTACTGCCTATCAGTGCCCTTTAGTGCTGCCTATCAGTGCCCATCAGTGCCGCCTATCAGTGCCCATCAGTGCTGCCTCATCAACGCACATCAGTGAAGGAGAAAAAATACCTGTTTGAAAAATTTTATAATAGAAACAAAGAAACTTTTTTTTTTCAAATTTTTTGCACTTTTTTTATTTATAGCGCAAAAAGTAAAGCGCCCAGTGGCGATTAAATACCACCAAAAGAAAGCTCTATTTGTGAGAAAAAAATGATCAAAATTTCATATGGGTACAATGTTGCATGACCGCGCAATTGTCAATCAAAGTGCGGCAGCGCTGAAAGCTGAAAATTGGCCTGGTAAATAAGGGGGTATAAGTGCCTGGTAGGCAAGTGGTTAATTAAACTCTTCTGGCTCAATAAGACAAAAATATTATTTTGTGCGCATAAAAGCATTTGTAATGGAAACAATCTATATAAAATTATTCTTTGTCCTGAGGTTTATTTATATCTGTGAGACTGTCATTTTTTGCGCAGTAATTAGTATTTGTGAGTACAATGACTGTGTTATGTGTGTACAGTGTATACAGCAAGCTCAGAATTTGTTCAATCCCCCTTTAAGACCCTCCCACTGACCATGTCCAGTTTTCAGTGCAGCGCATGTAGCATTCTGCAGAACATGCTTTTCTGATTTTTTTCCCATGGTGCCTCTTGTCTTTCATAATCCTAGTCACATTTTGTCATACTGTTTTGATTTTGTAACCATAAAGCCAAGCAGATTACTTTTTATGAGTATTGTTAATATTCTCATTGTGTACATATTGTTATTACAGGCTAAGTTCACCCCTCGCCCGCACTCCAACCCTCACCCTGATCAACACACTCATAGTTCATTGACATTTTCTCCAGCTTTCTACCTGAAAAAAGCTGAAGGAAGGTTTGCAGGAGTCTGACACTATACCTGCTTTTCACCGATCACGGATGCAATGCTTTTCATGATCCTGTGGGAAAAAATAATACATGCCTATTTTTTTTTCCTGCAAGAATATGTGCTTTTTTGTTTCTTTAAAGGTGAATTTAACCTTTCAGTATTGATTGTCTTAGTTTATCATAGGAATTTCTGTCATATTTCACATTTTCAGTTAAACATTTACTCTGCCAGTACATTTTCCATACTTTGTCAGTAAAAAAAAGTCATTGGGGATTGGCAAACCTGACACTTACCCTCCTAATATGGAGAAGAGTAAAAGAGAAGAGGAAAATGGAGAAAATGAGGCATTCTGCCTAAAGGTGATGTAGCACTTTTTCAGTGGATACAGAATGGCCTGCTAAGTAGTTTGGTGGGCCAACAATGCCATCTTAGGGTCAGGTTCTTTGTGTATGATGGAGAGGAAAATAGATTGGGCACCAGTCACTTTAGTTTTTTTGTCTCCTATTGCTGAACTGAATTTTAGGAGAGAGATTTAAGGGTGTAGGATATCCAAAAATAACACAAAAATAAGGCATGTATTCTGCAGTAACAGTAGGCCATTTAAGAGCAGCATCTGGGTAATTGCTGATCTGGTGTAAGCAGATAGATAGAGCTATGACCCTGTTAGAACAGTCACAGTCCTCCTTAACCTGATGATGCCAGATGCACACATATATGCAGCCCTGTTAAAACTACCATGTGGAGAGCGCACTCCCTTCACGCTCCCAGCATGGTAGACGATTGTGATTGACAAGCTCCCGATGCATACTAGCGATGAGGAGCTTTCCAATCATGTGACTGTGTGAAAGCCAATCACAGCGGTCACATGACCCAAAGGCCCGCCTCTACCTCCTGGCTTTTAGAACCCTTAAAGGGCCTGGAGGCTGCCAGCGGCAAGGGGTTAAGTTGTAGAGGATCTCTCCATGTCCTGCATTAGCTTCTACCCAGCTCCTCTTGGGCCTACAGCACAAGCCCCCAAATTAGACAAGGTCCAAGTAGAGACCATTCAAAAGGCAAAAGCCAAGGAGGGGAATTCCATTCTAAAAAAGATTCCCCAAACATTTATTACCTCCATAAATGATACATCTGAACAACAACTAACCTTAAGTCGCAGTTCACACTACTACAATCTGAAAGACACGTGATTTACAGTGCGACTTTGCCAGGCAACATGAGTACTACTTTGGAGCAACTCTGATTCAACTTTCAGGGAATGCTTAGGTAATCTTCCTGTAATGTCGGATCCAAATCACATCAATATAGATGAGGATCTGACTTGGAGGCAACTTGCATTAAATTCTATGGGCACAAGTTGGATAGAAGTCGCCTTGAAGTAGTACAGGAAGTAGTACATGAACCTTTTCTAAAGTCGGACTTCAGTAGTGCTAATTAAGATGGCTCTCATTGACTAAAATGGGATTTTACATGTCATGCGACTTAGGGTCTCACAAGTTGGATCCCAAGTCACGGCAGTGTGAACCGAGTCTAAGGATTAGTTGTGTCAGACAGAGATTCAAAATTTAGTGAATGTTATTTCTACAATGAACTGGAACCTCCTCAACAAGTAACAGATATAAACAATCTACACACTATCCTTAGGAAAACCAAAAGAATTTAGACAAGTATAAACAGAGCTGTATTTGACTTTTATTCTTGAATTTTTATACAGTAAATAATATTGTAAACCCAGGTACTTTTTCATGTGTCTGCTGTATGCAGATCAAGTAAGAACACTGCAGGAAACCCACTGATGTCAATATATACACAATATCATCAAAATTGTGCTTTTCTACTTCTTTGACAGCAATCCGGCAATAGCAATCAGCTATTAGAATATAGTAACACCTCCTATTTATGTGTTGTACACGCTGCATGTGTTTTCACATTTTCTGTATTGCTTCCTCTTCAGAGCTCAGAGATGCTGCACTCCTATTGATAATGTGCAGCACACAGCAAAGCAAAGGCTCTGCTCAGTTCTTTTTTGCCTGTGATGTCAGGCATAAAAAATGCATGCTGGGCACCTATACCTATGGCATCCAATCCCTTTGACACAGCCAATAATGCTGTGTTGTAAATATACAGTGTGAATATAAAATGTTCCTAATGATATTTATCAAGTTCCCATTGCTGTAACTATTGTGGAAACAGTGCTCATTTCAAGTTGTTGCTGTGGGTTTGAATTGAGGTGGGATGCAGGATGTAAATACAAAAATTCTTTGACATTTCCCTTACATTTTTTACACCTCTATATAAACTAAAGCCCATTCATCAGTGAACCCTTTGACAACTGAAAATTTTCTCCCAGTATGTCTTCGGGTAAAAAGGTGTAGTGCAAAAGGTAATTACCGCATCATTCAGCTGTTCCTGTGCGTTTGCTGCCTCTACATAATGAGGGTCTTTTGGTATGGCAAACCCTCTGTTATTCATTCTCAACCTAAAAGGCAGCACATGGCACAGTATGGAATCTCTTTATTGATTGTTCCTATGCCAGTGTTACAGCAGTCTCTGCACAACTTTTTATGCTGATAATTTTAGCAGCTCTCTTCTTCGTATGGCATTTGAACCAGAATTGTGCAGTTTGCGATGATCACAAAGAGAAAAGGAACACAGCTGAACCTTTCTGATTCCAAAGGTTTTCTTGACAATAGCTGCAGCCACATGTTGACTTTAGGTCTCTGGCATTGTGTTGAACCATTCACTACATACATATATTTAGCTTTTCACTTACTTCTTATGAATGTACTATGTAATGAACCATGTCAGTGGTGGCTAATAATCCTGCTTCCTTTTCCAGGGTAAAGATGAAAATGTTCCAAAGATTAGATATCTGCTAGGTAAAAAAATATTGCTATTGCTTTACTGAGCAATAGCAATAAATCCAAGATGGAAAGATAGATAGATAGATAGATAGATAGATAGATAGATAGATAGATAGATAGATAGATAGATAGATAGATAGAGAGATATAGATATATAAAAATGGTAAGTGAGGGTGAGCAGCCAAAATTTTTTCAAGTGGCCAGGTAAGTCCCCATAACCTCTATAAACAAACAAAAATTAAGGTGGGGAACAGAAACACAATAAAAAGCTTTATTTATTGCTCATGCTTACATATATAAAAGCAATTGTGATATATAGTATGTTTATACAGTATGTATAAACAGAGCTGTCTTTTGTGTTGCAGTACTGTACACAGTACAGTATTGTGCTAAAGGTGTGGAAAATGCTGTACATGTGCTAAAGTCTTAGGCGGGTGTGGAAAATGCTGTACATGAAGAATGCTTTCAGAAATAGCAGTGTTCATAGTTTATTATCAGTTAACAAAATGGAAAATAAATAGACAGAAGAGAAATCCAAATCAAATCAATATTTGATGTGACCACCCTTTGCCTTCAAAACAGCATCAGTTCTTCTAGGTACACTTGCACACAGTTTTTGAAGGAACTTGGCAGATACCGTAGGTTGTTCCAAACATCTTGGAGAACTAACAACAGACCTTCTGTGAATGTAGGCTGCCTCAAATCTTTCAGTCTCTTCATGTAATCCTAGACAGATTTGATGATGTTGAGATCAGGTCTCTGTGGGGGCCAAACCATCACTTCCAGGACTCCTTGTTCTTTACGTTGAAGATAGTTCTTAATGACATTGGTTGTATGTTTGGGGTCTTTGTCCTGCTGCAGAATCAATTTGGGGCCAATCACACGTTTCCTTGATGTTATGGCATAATGGATAAGTATCTGCCTGTATTCCTCAGCATTGAGGACACCATTGATCTTGACCAAATCTCCAACTCCATTTGCAGAAATGCAGCCCCAAACTTGCACGGAAACTCCACCATGCTTCACTGTTGTCTGC